ACTTCTATTTCGCAGTTTTAGTGGTTTGTCAGTTTCAGAGGATAAACTTTTTCTACACAGAATTAATGAGACTTGCACATCCTTTCCTCAAGAGATTCTTTTGAGCCTTTTGAAAGCATATTCAATTTCCTTTTGAAATCCGTATTAAAATACTCTTCCAGTCCCCCTCACTGTCCCCATTCACATGCTATTTGCCACACAAAACTTGTAATATTTGCTCGTTGTTTCTGAACCCTAGCCTGTGCAACTGCATTGGCTTCAGTTTTATTTATATTAAAATAATTAAAGTTTAATGTTAACTTGGAGTTATAATAGTGCCCTTTCCTCTCATCTTTTAACCTGCACTTCATACAAACACCTGAAAGTCCAGTGTTAGTTTCCATTATTAGAAACCAACCTCATTACAGGATCAACACAAATTCCCAAGGCCTAGTGATGCCATGTTGACATCTAAGATGGTAAGAGGTTTTCATAATAATGAAATGTAGCTGCATACTCAAGACAGGCACCAGAATCAAGAGTGGGGAATCAATCCTAAAATCTTTCAGCTCAGGAAAATGAGCTATTAAGTAATTTGAAGTTACAGATACATAGCACTAGAGGGAGTCATGATAACATGCACTAGGCCAGCATGTCATATTTGCATTGGGTAAGCAAAGTCATTTCCTATATTTTTTGTAGTTTGTATATTTTAATATTCTACCAATAATTTACCAACAAATTCTAATTTATAATTCTGACAAGCTTCAAACTGTCTGGGAATTATTAGGTTATAGTCCAGTTATTTTCAGGATGACGCATCTAAAACATAAGCACTTCATTCATGAAATTCTCCACTTAAAGTAAAAGCCACAACTCCCCTTACTCTTTGGTTGTTATATGGTTGCACATCTTCAAAACATTTGGTCACATTTACCCTAATTCCGAGTTTAAAAGCAATGCCTCATTTCAGGGGCCTGTAGAAAGCAACCTCTTATAAAGAGTATAATCCCCTGTATTCAGGGTAGCTGCCCTTTGGTGCCTTTCCAAAGGAGAGATCCTGTGCCTCTTTGCTAAGAGAAACAGTTTTAACACAGGTTTTGGTGTTACCCTTACTATCTAACATGACCCAGCATGTCAACTGGGGCAGCACTTCACCTTGTTACTCTAAGCATAGTTTTAAAAATTTTCTCTTGCACCTGGCTGACTGTCTGAGGTATGTAGACCTATTTATTAAATAGGTTAATTTTATAATAATTTGTCCCTCAATCCCAAAAATCAGATTTTCCTTTCAAAGGAAGTACCGTCCATTCAGCAAAGTTTAAGTTTTTGGTTTTTCTTGGGGTTTTGGGCTGTTGGGTTTTTTTTTGCTTTTTAAATAATGAAATAAGAACAGAGTCTATAACAATGGAAATTATAATCAAATACAGAGATATTAAATTGTGTTTGAATTAACTCATGTCTTGACTTTTTGGACTGAAAAATATTCTTTGAATTTTGCAGGTAACAGAATAGATAGTATTGGGCTTTACTTTTCAGAAACTAAGAACAAACTTTTGAAATGGCTTAGGAGTCAAAGTCCAGGTAAATGAGAGAAAAAAAATTATACTGAAGTGTAACACAGTACATAGGATCAGGCAGGATTAGGTCCTGATTTACATTCTATTCGCCTGCTTTGGTTGCAAGAACCTTGATTGTGTAAAGTAAAGCATTTCAAAGTAGCTATATCAACTCAGGCACTTGGGATACTGTCGTCTGAAATGCTCCTATTTCCCAGTTAAATAGTGTAGCTTCAGGATAAATAAAAATAAGCTTTGTTAAACAAACATTCAAAAATGTAAAATGCCGTAAGAGTAAGCAAGGGGTTTCTGAGGGGTAGACCATTGATTATTTCAATTAAGAACACTAATTCTTCCTATATTTTTGTAGTAGGTGATGATTATAAAAAGCATAGTAAAGGTTGAGGGAAACATTCATTTTGTGAAGTTCTAAGGCACAACTAGCATCTTCTGGTAGTAGAATTAATTGTTCAACAAACATTAACACAACAATACTTAGCTCAATACAAAATACTTCTTTAAAACAAATGCAGCGCTAGCTGTTTTGTAAAATTATGTCTTTACTCCTTTTAATAGAACTATAAGAAGGCATCATTTGAAAGTAAAAGTGTAAGGTTTTCTTATGAAGTTATAAACAAAACATGAAAAATATCCAAGCATTCACAAGCAGATGCAATTGTTTCTGCCACTACACTGAAGTTGGGCATGTGACAATACATCTTTCCGAAGAAACAGTAATTGGGAACAAAACCCTACAACAGGTAAGAGAATAAACCTGCAAATGCTGCCCATGGAAAGCATTTTTTTGTTGTTACAGTTCATTCCCCCTTCTGGGGCAAAATGGACTAAGAATGACCCATGATAGGGCCTTCACTACAAGATTTGCTACTGATCCTATATTTAGTTGTGAATGTGTTGGTTACAACTCAAGGTAGCATCAACTAAGGTCTTAATCCAGCAAAACACTGAAGTACTGAGGCAGCCTGAATACTTACTATTCTGAATAGTAAGCAACACATTCACTAGCAAGTATTTGCAGATCACATTCTTTAAAGGCTACCAACAGTTATGAGGCTACCTCACCATAAGCTTTCTTCAAAAGAATGTTAATACCAGTGCACCTTGGCTGGGTGAATAGAGCTCTTTAACAGGTAGTCCTCTCACTGATGGAAGTAATAGCGTTCAAATTGATGCCCTTTCCCAAAACAATTGTAGATTCTACACCTAATTATTTTAGAGTGAAAATAAAATAATAAATTAAAGCTTCATTTTACAAACAATTGCAACACACCATCAGAAAAACTGTACAACTTCATAAATAGTCTCATCTTAAAAGTACTTGAAATAACAGATATTGCACCATACAGCTTCTTCTTAAGAAGCAATACAGACTGGTAGCTAATTCAGTCCCCTTCACACACACCCTCATGCAAAAAGCTAGTGTCAGTAGCAACTTCAGCTATGAAGTTGTTGTTCTTCTCTAGGGCCAATTAGATTCACTCTTTTCAGATTTCAAACTTCAGAGGCTTCAGATATTTACTCCTTTGTAAGAAATACATTCACTAGTATGGTTAAGATGTATTGTTCTTCACTGTATGCTCCAAGACTCTTTTGAATGGAGTGTACATCCTCACAGGCCTTAAAGTTTCAGGAAAACTTCTTCTGCTGATGCCTATGCTATTAAGACAGGAAAAAAGCAGAGGTTTTTCTGTCAATTCTCCAGGTTCAATGCATTTGTTTGAGGTACACATTCAGTCAGTAGGAGAGTGAACTTCACTACAAAGAACTCTTATTTTGGAGGTTATTATTAATACTAGCTCTGAAAACTCATGCAGTGAATCTATTTTTAACCTATAGCATGCATCTGATACCCTTCAAATACCTTTTTAAATACTCTGAAGGATACTTCAACAATCTCATGTCACATGCTTGCAAGCTTGGGAAATGAGCATCAGCAGAGGTCTTGTAGTAGAATAGCAAGCGATACAGCTGTTACTGTTGTGGAAGGGGAGCATTCTTACTAACTGTAAAATGTAGTTTCACAAAATGTAACCTGAACAGATGTCAAAGATAAATCTCAAAAACAAGACATTGGAGAGCTACAGAAAGTCTGCTTTCAGATTCAAAGACACACAAAGATATCACAGAAAAGGGTCAGCAGCCATGGTGAGTATCATCTTTGAAACTTCATAGCATAACCTGTGCCATTCAAATGTGCTCCAGGCCAAAGCAAATGATTATCTGGTTTATTTTAAAATATTAAGAAGTCCCATAGTTATATGACATAATGGTTTACTGAATCATATGGCTATTTGCATTCTTCTAAGTTATAGCTAAAGGATTTGTATAGCAGAGGATTAGTTCACCTCTGCCTGTTAAAAATGCAACCAGCTCTGTGGCTCTGTTACACATGGACAATATTACCTTTCATTTTTTACTATATAGCTAGGAGCAATTTGCATCTCCCCAGACCCTCAATGCAAATACATAGTCCTGGTTACAGTGCAACTAAACCTGACTCTGTGGTTGCACCTCTAGGCAAGATTCCAAGAGTGTAAGTCTGTATTCCTGAAGGCCTCTGGACCGCCTGTTACCTCAGTGCACAGGACACAGGTAGATGAAGAATGGTAACATTTACCCACTGGCTACTCTACCGCAGCAGTCTTAATGTGGGCTGTAGCAGTTACAGAACTATACCGCTGCTACTCAGCCTTCAGGAGGCTGCTCCTAACACAAAAACAATGCTCAAAGCCTATATTAGTCAGTTTTTGGACAGAATTCAGCTACCAGTGCACACATGGCATAAAAAAAATATGTATCTGCATTATAATTAAATGGATTTCAGGAGGTGCTTTGACATCACACAACAGTCAAAAGTAACCAAAGATATTTCCTATATTAGCTACCCAATGCTCATATAGGAAACGTGGCAACTTCATGTTTTTATAAAAACAATATGAAGTTAATTTGACCATTGGACCAACTGAATTCTAATCCTGCCTCACACACCAGAGTACTTAAATCACCTCTGGGAAGGTCCTGCAGCACCAGTTTTAATAAACTTTCCCTTTGACATCATAAGACATGCTTTTATGTTTGCGTAACAGAGGGAAATCTTAGTCTGGAGCAGACTCTGCTTAATTCACTTTTTTCTTCTTTTTGCACTTGCATATTCCAACAGTTTGCAACGTCCCATCATTTTGCCAAAAGAAATGTGAAATGTAGTCAAAGGCTATCAGAAATGTAGTCAAAGGAAAATATTATTTCCATTCTGTATGCTATAAAGAAATAGACAACCAAATAAAAATTACTTGACTATTAGGCTGCAGATGCCTTTGTAAGCAATTATGTTTTATAACCTATTATCAAAATTCTACCAGTACTTGTAATAAGCAGCTTATCAGATTAAACTAAACTTCTGCAGAAAACCCTTTAAGGTAAAGTTGGTAGAATACCCAATACCTCAGTGGAAAATCACATCCTACTCCAGTCTCTCTGGTTTCCACACTAGTCTTTTGCCGAGTTTCCATTAAATAGTCCAACTTGTCTTGTAATTCTTTGTTCTGGAAAACAGGGATTTGCAAATTATATCTTTAAAATAATTTCTATACTCCTAATTAAACATGAAGTTGAGCAGCAGGCTTTCTTCATCAGTTAATAATTTCAAGAATCCTATTTAAAATACTAGAAATTCCCTTAATTCTGAACAATAAAATTGACTAAAAATATAAATCAATCTACAGCCTAGATTTGGAATCCTCAATTTTTTTTTCAGTGCATCTATAATATTGGTAAATAACTGTTTGTTACAGAAGTTCAAGGTGTGAACATGAAGACTATTCATTACATGCATTCATAAAATGTCATGAATGTACCTCCACATTACAGCAGCAACTATGCTCAGCAGATATACATAAAGAAAATAGCAGATAATATTGGTGCTAACAGTTCTCTTAAAAACATATCAAAAATAACTTTAGCCTCTAAAAGTCTAGTGCTGTAGCTGCTTCCTTTTCCAAACCCAAGAAAGACTGCTTTGCATTCAAAAGCTTGTCTAACTATCTGAACCATGAAGTTGGTCCAGTAAAAGATATCAACCAAAACATCCTTCCTTGCCTAGTGCAAGTTCAGGCACTTACCTCACATTCTAAGAAAGAGATTTTTTCTAAAAGCTGTACTATAAACAATTCCTTTTCCTGAACCTTATTTCTTAGCAAATCAATCTGTGAAAAAAAAAAAAAAAAAAGAGTAAAATATTCAGGTAAAAGAAGCAAAACTAGAACACACTCGATTTCAATGCATAGGTAGCACTGTATATTCTTGTATCTAAAATTATTTGCTGATTTATACCAAGACTACATGCACACATACACGAATATGGTTTATAGCAAAATCATATATGTGTACTAACATGGTTTCTAAGAATTCATGTTTCTCAAATAGGAAATGTAAACTCAAGTAACAGCTAGCTAATACATCAATATGTAACAGGAAGTAGGGAGAACTTTGATTGTATGAATTTTGATTTTACCCAAATCTCTGACATAACTCAGTTACTTAGTCTCTTCAGTTTCCACCCCCCTGCCTTCCCAATTTGTTCATTTGCTACGTGGCACAGCATGAAAATTAAAATATTTCTACATGAAAAACCTTTACATTTCATACTGGGTTAAGGAGTAGAGGTCATTACCAACAACTGCTTGTCATAACATAAAAGTAAAACGGTTAGTCAGTCATACAGCTGACAACTTATTTCATTAATTTTCCTGTGCTCTGTTGGGAATAATATTAATAATTTGAGTATTTTAAGCCAATATTAATATCTTCAGATTTTTCCATACATTAGGGCAACTTCACACAAATCCACTTGTGCAAAGTTGTCTTAAAGCTGGTTTACCCAGTTACAGAAAAATTTTCCCTGGGTACTGGGCTCAGACATGTCAGACAGCCTTATACAATAACAATGATCTGCTGGCTAGGGTATGGCTACAGAAGAGGCAAGATCAGGATTTCAATGCTCCCTGGTTGCCATTCTCACAGTACAGTAGACTGCTTTAGTACAAAGTAGCCCCTGAAATCCACCACTGCCTCCTCTTCGCATCCCCCTGCATATCCATCATTCTTCTTTCTACCCCAGTAGGGGCACATAACAGCTTTATAACAACAAAAGGACAAAGGTACTCCCTGTTCCAAAATTAAAGCATATTGTGGAGATGGATAAAACTAGCATAACACCTTTAGAAGGGGGTGGGGGGGATAATGTTCCTTTATAGCAGGGGTGGCCAGAGCTACTCACCCTGGGAGCCACATCTGGTCCTCCACTGAAGGTCAAGAGCTGCAGAGCTCTGCCTGCTTCTCCAGTTTAATGTTTAGGAGCCAGGAGCTGGCCACAGGATCGAGCTCCTGCCACTGCAGCACCGAGCCACTCTGGCTTTCCCCACAGGGAGCTTGCCCTGGCATAAGCAGCGCGGATGCAACCTCAGCCCTGGGAGCCCAGCGCCCGAGTCGGGAGCCCCGAAGCAGAGAAGTGGGTGGGACTTCAGCTCTGGAGAGCTGCAAGTACCTTGCCGCCGAACCTCATACTGCTTTACAGTACAGCATTTGCAAACTAAGTATTGCATTCACACAGATGTATACAAGACTGCATAAAGTTAATCTGTTATTAGTACCCTTAAAGAACAAAAATGACATTGCTTAGCTTTTCCTAGTCATTAATCCTATTGAAATAATTTTTCAAGTTTAGTTTCAAGCTAATTTAATTGCTTTTTCTAAAGGGCTTAGTATTCCCAAAGCACATGGGTGAAAGGAGGCTGACAAGCTTTACACTGCTAGAACCACCAAGTTATTAAACCCGAAATATTTAAATCCAGTATTTTCATTTATTTTGTACACATTTCCAATTCTTTCAACATGAGCAAAACTCAATTTCCAATTGCCTCCATTTAATCTGTAATAAAATGTCTTTAAAATAAAAAATAAAATTAAGTTAAAGAATCTGAAAATGTTCAAGTAAAACATTAAAAACAGTATCCATCGATATCACAAAAAAACCCCCAAAAGAACTACAGTAAACCAGCATGAAATAAGTTCAGAAAAACAAAATATCAGTCTCAAGTAAAAGATCTGGAAAAAATTAAAATGAAATGTACAAGAATCAAAAAATGAAATAAGCTAAAAGCACAAGATTTGTGAAGGCAGCAATTAAAAAAAAAAATACAACCCTCAACTGCATTTATCTTAATAAAAGTGCTGTGCCCAATTTGTATTTTTAATAATTTATTTTGAATTAAATGTTTCATTTGACAAGGTGCCAAGCCAGTTGGCTCTTTGCCTTTTTCCAATAAGTTTCATACAGTATTTTTGAGCTAAACAGTAATGAGTAATAATACACTGCAGTGAAAAATGCTGCAATCCAGTTTTCCATTTCTATTAAATTAACAGGGTTGTTTTTCAGTTTGGGCATTTGCTCTTTTTCTTCATGTATAAATAGATCCTTTCTGGTTAAAATAGAAAATCATTAATTCAGTCTTTAGTGACAGTGCTAAGTCATCATTTTAAAATTTCACATTTTCATAGTAAAAGTGACTTCTGTAGTATGTACTGAAGCTTGACAGTTACTGATCTTAGTACTTCATTACTGCTGTGTTTAATAGTCTTATTATAATTAAGTACTAGCCGGTGTTTTTCTTAAAGGTGGTTCAAATTTCCCCATTTTGAAAAGTGAATACTTAAAGATACAATGTTCTTTTAGGTATTTTGTATTAATATTCTGTTCTGCCATGCAGAGAAGGAAATTACTTCAGAAAATATCTGTATGCATAGGGAGAGCAGAAGCTTGAAACCAAGTACAGCTGTGCAAAATCAGAAGAAAGTTTAGTTCTTACAGAAGCAAATCCTATTACTGGAGATATTATACCATACCCTTAGTGCCCATTCTGATTTTTAGATTAATTTGCAAATCCAGGATGGTTTTATTTATATTAGCTTTTTTATTATACATGCTTTTCAAGAGCCAGAGGTCTTACCTTTGCCTTTCATAACAGCTTAAATTGATTAGATTACGTAGGGTGAATATAATTCAAAGATTTTATATATCAAGGGTAGGCAATTATTTAAGCTGGAGGGCCACTTAAGTTTTGGTGAGCTGTTAAAGGCTGCACACACAATCTTTCAGAAGATACCATTTTAACAAATTATAGATAAAAAACGAATCATATACTAAGAATCAAACATCTGCTTTCACATATTTTAATTTTATTACAAAAAATAATTTTTGTCCCGATTTATGTTTTTTGAGTAGTGTAGAGACAATTGTATAATAGCTCAAATTAAAGCCTTACTTTTGCATATTGTGTGTCGGGGGGGCGGGGGTACATGCACATGTGTGTGGAAGGCTGCTGACACAAGGTCCCAGGAACTGCCTGGGGGTGCAAGGAGGGCAGGACACATGGAGCAGAGCTCAGCTGGGTGATGCAGGTGTAGTTTGCCCCCCCTACCCCATCCAGCCCACAGCACTCCACATGGGGCCGAGTCCCACCTGTTTCCATCTCGGGAAGCCTGTGCTATGCTCCTGGCCCCACCCACCAGAGAGCACCACCCCAGCCCTGGCCCCAGCTAGTACGCACAGCTTCCCAGTGTTGCTGCTCCAGGGGAGGTTGCAGCCATTCAGGTACTGGCGGAAGGCAGCCAGGAACTGGAGCTAGAGCTCCACGCACTGGGGCAGGAGCCACCTGGCTGCAGCTCCCCCTGCCCCCTGGCTGAGCATCTGCTGCCTGGCATGCATCCCCTTGGCTTCCCTGTGTTACCTGCTGACCAGAGCGGTGCAGCAGGGGCAGGACGAGGAGCCGCTGGAGGCAGGGAAGCTGAACCGTACCTGGGTGGCTGCAGTAACAGTCTTCCTGGGAAACTGTATGCGCTTGCCACAGTGGAGCTGTCTAGTGGGTGCAGGGCGGCTGTGGGTGGAAAAGTAGCTCAAGCTGCCCAGGCAGGAATGGGCAAGGCTCAGGTTCAAGTAGAGCACTGCGGGGGCAGCCACAGGTTAGATGCAATCAATTGGTGAGTGCCCACTTATATGCCGCATCCAATCAGTTGCCAGGCCAGACCTGGCCCACAGGCTATATTTTGCCAACCCCTGCTTTATATCATAAAAGTTCAGATTGAACAAAGAAGCTAATTATATTTGCCATTGTTGAGTACAAACAAGTACAGCTACTGTAATTAAACCAGAACTCATACACCAAGTTTAGATCTATTCTCATCTACTCAAACTAGAGGTACGCCTATACATCGGTCCATATCATATCGGCACCAATAAAGGGAACAATGACATTAGCATCAATCACTTTTTTTGGCTGATGTGGCCAATAACAATGTTGATAAATGCTGTATGCATACACACAGCTGCAGCATGCACTCAGTCAGGAGTGCAGCCTGGCAGCTTGATTAGCAACGTCCAACCAGTAAGTCCCGGGGGGGGGCAGGAGGCAAGGAATGGGGGGCAGATCAAAGTCCCCGCAGTGAGGGAGGAAGTGGAGCTGGAGCAGGAACTACCCATCAGGGTGGGGGACAGAGCTGCAGCTCATCTGGGGGACAGGAGAGGGAGTGGCAGCTCCTGCCGCTGCATGCACCCCCAGGTGGAAGCATGGGGAGGTGTCCCTGGATCCGTCATGGGGTGAGGGCGGGCTGCCACTGCAGGCTGGAGCCAGAGGCTGCACCGGGCTCTCCCCAACAGCTGTGGTCAGGCTAGGCAGGGCATCATGGGCAGCAACAGTGCTCGGGGGGGGGGCCACAGTACATTTTTGGGTGGCTCTAGTCCCCTTGTATCCCCCCTCCCAGTGCCGCTGCTGCCGCCCACCCCACCCACCCCAAGTGCAGCACTGGCTCAGCCCCACACTGCTGTGAAAAGCCTGGTGCAGCATCTGGCTCCAGCTTGCAGCAGCAGCCCGCTCTCACCCCGCACACAGATCCGAGGGGCATGTGCCCCCCC